TGTATATAAATGTGTTATTCATGTCTAAAATAAAAAAAAGATTAATTCGAATTTTGAGTAAAACAGGTTTTTATCACTCTACTTTCACCACAGCAGGGACTGAGATACATTAGGACTGAATAATGACTTCATATTACATACCAAGGTTCATGTGATGTGTACAAATACAAATTGAGCATTCAACCTTTTTTTTTTGAACCAACAATTAATTATAAATATGTTTTTTTCAACCAACTATTTATATAAATATAAGAAACTGGAAAATCTAACTATTTACAATATTGAACATTAATTCAAGACAGTGTCAAGGTCTTTGTCTGTCTTCCAAGACAGTGGGTCTGGCTGCCCTGTAGGTGGGGGTGATGGTGCATGGGCTGCTGTGTAGGTGGGGTGTACAAGTGCTATACGAGACCTCCACGAGACCTCCTTGCTGGCTGGGTTGAAGGTGATGGCTGTGGTGGAGCCTTTGTGCTGAGGTGTATCTTGACCTGGTGGCAGAGATGGGGACTCGAGTCTGAGACTCGCACTCGAGTCGCACTTAAGTCGCACACACAGAGACTTCAGACTTGACTTGGACTCCTGCTCAAAAGACTTCGGACTCGACTTGGACTCGTGTTTTGGGACTCGTGAACAATCATTGTGTTTTCTATTTTTGGCGTATTAAAGGTGGGGTAGGTAAGTTTGAGAAACCGGCTCGAGATCGATAGAATCTGAAAATACACAACCGGAGAAAATCTGCCACTTCCTCACAGAGCCCCTCCTCCAACACACACGAACGAGCACATGACCAATGAGGGCACGAGATAAGTTTGTGCCCCGATGGAAGGCTGACAGGCAGGTAGGCCATCCAGTTATTTTAGCCGGGCCGGCTATCAGGATGTTAAGAGCATTCCATGGAATATAACAAAAAGTGTATCTCGAGCCGGTTTCTCAAACGTACCTACCCCACCTTTAACATTAACATCATGGTAACACCATGGCGACCGGAGGCACACCTGCAGCTGTACCGCTTGTAATTAGGTTCAACTATAAAAACTTCGAACAAAAACGCCGGCGGCACCAACAAAAGGAGCGCACACTGCAAAGTCTGCAATATTAAAATCAAGGATGCTAGTGCAACAACGTCAAATTTCATCAGGCACTTGAAAACTCACCCGGAGAGGTCAGTCACATTAACACATATGGACGGTTAGCAAACATGTTTAGCTCAGCATCAGCTATGTAATGTTAACTTAGCTTGCTACTAGCTTTGTAACTGAATATTTGAAAAGATGAGTGAATGTTTGCTTGTCACACTTGTTTGCGTTGAGTGGCGTTGACATCCAACTCTTGACATGACATAAAAAAGGTCGGTAACGTTAATCATTACGTTCCGCTGCCACCATCTACTGGCTAACGTTAAACGTAGAAAAATACATAGTTACATACATAAATACATCTGTCGGTTTATAGGCAGGTTACAGGTTTATTGTTGACCAGGTAACGTTAATGTTACAGGTTTATCGGGTTACCATTACACTGGGTTTGAGTGAGAGGATAGAGGAATATGTTTATTTATAGTAGACTTAAAAGATGTAATTAGAGACCCAGTGTAATTAAATAATACGGTTGCAGAGGTCACATTTTAACATTTTTGTCCACTGGCCAAATGGCTAGCCTAGTGAATGTTGAAATTTTACCAGCCACTCAATAGATTGCCATTGTTATTTGTGGCTGGTGCGTGCAACATACAGTACCAGCCACTTGCATGATTTACCAGTATTTGGCTGGTTAATGGTGTTAATGGTAGATATCTCTTTTGGAACAGGTCATGTTTTAATATCACCAGTTCAGTATATTTCAGATAATATTGCAGCAATAGTTTTTTAGTTGCAAAGAACAAATGTTTTCTTTTAAGTACTTTTAACACAGTTTCCCTGCGTGGGATTAATAAAGTATTTGTGATTCTGATTCTGAAGTGTTTTGCTTATAAGTTGTTTGCATTTAGCTAAAGTGTGATGTTTTTCCTCATATTGCATTGCAATAGCCTGTTTTAAAGTGATCATATAACAAACAACTAATCAGTACTGATACTGTATGCTAATAGATATAGGAGTGATAATAATACAGTAAATGCTTTGAATTTCTTAGATATAGCTGTGCAGTATTCTTAACAGACTGGATAGCAGCAGACAATAGAAGGCTTATTACAACCAGAAGAAACATGAGACTTTTATTTTTTAGAGACTTGACTTGGACTCGTGACCAAAGACTTGAGACTTGATCAAGTCTCACCCCACAAAGACTTGAGACTTGACTTGGACTCGTGACCAAAGACTTGAGACTTGACTTGGACTTGCAAAAAAACACTTGCGAACATCTCTGCCTGGTGGCAGCCGCAGGTGGAGGCAGCTGTAGTGATGCTGGTCTGCTGGTCCTTGGTGGTGATGGCTCTGGTGAAGGCCCTTGAGCCACAGTAGATCTTGACCTGGGGGCCGGCAAAGATGGATGTTCGGGCTGCTGGATAAACGCCGCCTGTGGGCCACTAGGCCCAGGCAGCTGTGAAACATCTCTATAAAACAAATTAAAATGTAGGACAATAATTACTAACTAATTTCATTGAAATAAAGTTCAAGTAAAATGTTGCTCAAGCACAAATAACAATGCACACATAAAAATAAAGTTTGGGAGGTTGGAGAAGGAATCTCTCTCGATCTCTCTCTCTCATACACACACACACACAGGTATTTCCAGTTACTTTACATTCAGTATAAAATCACACACACATATACATACATCCGATTACAAAGTCTCATCTGATTACAAAGTCTCATCTGTACAGGACGGTCAAATAATAACAGGCACACATATAAATAAATCTATGACAAAGTCTCATCTGTACATCTGTATGATAAAATAATCGATGGCAAAAATATGTCACTGTAAATGTCTCCGTTGTGGGACGAATAAATGATTAATTTTATCATCTACACATGTAATTTCACTTTTACACACCAAAATAACGTTAACAGAGTAAACGTTTGCTAATGGAGAGTCTATTTTGTCCAATAAAAAGTTCATGACTATCGATACAAATATATATCAATAAACCTATTGTTCATTTTCGCGGTATTACCCACACATTGCCAGTACACTATTACTGTAATATTTACACTTACCCATGTCCAAATGGATCCTTGTTGTTGTCTTTGTATTCTTCTTCTTCAGAATAGTCGAAGACTTAAGGTTCTGAGGCTCTATCTTCACTGCTGCTAGCGAAAAAAATCTCTAGCGAAGTCGGCAACTGCAGAGTTTTTTTTAGCCATTTTCTCTGTCTCTCTCTCTCTCCTCGTGTAAACTGATGGGAGACACGTGGTTTATGTATTTTTTACTTGGTGGGTAGGCCCTTAGTGATTTCTCGATGTCCATTGGTCATTTCAGACCATGATGGCTGCCGGCCGAGATTTCCTTGACGGACACACGAATCCACCAATCCCACTTACGGCCCGTCTACACTACAGGCGTCAAAAAATGGTTTCAACGCTTCGCCCATTCATTTGAATGGGGTGACGTAGGATATTTTCAAACTTCGCCGAACTGCATTGTGGGTAGCATGGCAAGGCGTTGCAAGCATCGCGAGCGTCTATCGGCGTCAAAAGTTGAACAATGTTCAACTTTTGAGGCTCGATGCTTGCTCGAAGCTGGCGTCAGCCAATCAAATCCCGTTTTTGCAATTCCCGCCAGTACAAGCGCTAGCCAATCAAACCGCGTGCAAGCTGGGAGAGCCAGACCGCAGTTAATTTCCTCATATTCCAAACGAGAAATTACGGTAGCAAATCACCCGGTTCTTTCCGACCAGAACTATTTACCGGGATACAAACCGGAGGAACCAGGCATGGAGGGAGGTGGCAGAGACAGTGGGTGAAACTGGTAGGTTTTCGCCTGTTTGGGGATTTTATATCCAGTTTACTTCGTTTTAACATTGCTATTGCTTTGTATGTCGGGGGCGGGAGATTCATGTGATTGGTTGTTGTCGTGCTCGCAAAAAATCGCCAAGCTTCAGACATGCCCAACTTCAAGCTTTTTCGATGCCTGTAGTGTAGACGGGCCGTTAGTGTAAAGTCAAGCTGCTTTGAGCGGCCATATTGGCTGCAGTGCCCTGGTTACAGTCTCACAGGAGATACCGCTGGAAAGCTACTCTTCCAGCGATTCCGCGGATATCTGAATCATATTTCTACTCCTTATAATCGAATATATATGATTAATTACGTAAAATTATTCGCACCTCCAGAGGGTTCGTCCGCCAAGTGATATTTCTTGACCCATTTAGATGTATTCTTGGTTTATCCGTCCGCGAGCACGACACCATCTGTGATCGATTAACTACCCCTCCTGTACCTGTTTACTCTGCTTTCGTGCGAAGGGTCTGCTTTATGCACTCCGCAGTAACTCCGCTGCGAGGCTCCGGCGGCGAACCCCCCCCGTTCATGACCGAGCTCCGCTAGCACACACACACACCCCCCTCCCCCCCGTTCTCGGCTCCCACCATAAGTAGGGATGGGTACCGAGCCCTGGTATTAAACGGGCCCCGGGGCTGAATTATTAAAGACTGTGGTACCGTTAAGCTCCGACGTTAGCGGTCTTTTTATCGGTACACTGATAAAAGTATTTCGTTCAACCAATTTAAAAAATGTAGGGTAATGGTTCACATCTATACTCTATAGCTTGAGCCAATGAAAAATAAATAACTTGCCTCAAACAATATTTCTTATGTCCATGGAAACTATTATATAAGACTTGGCACAAAGTATATTTTCTTGTTGAAGGAAGTCAATTAATTTAAATTCTATATTTAATCCAAACAAATATAGATTTTATCAAACAGTTTTTTCTCGTTAAAATTAACTACATATTATTTGTTTTATCCAATCAAAAATGTATACATTTTGTTAAACTATAATTTTCTCATTTAATCTAATCCAAAAATATATAGATTACATCAATAATTCTCATTACACATTGTGATGTTTATTACTTATAAAACAAACAAATTTACAGGGTATCTGCATTGTTCAAATAAAATGTAACAATTTAAAATACATAGAAAAACTGCACCGCAGTTGTATGCCTAAAGGCATAAAAATGAAAAATAATTCTTGCCAGAAAACAGTCAAGTTTCTCAAGGGTCAGATTGGAACTTTGAAGAGCTGGCAGCCAAACATATTGACCTTTGAAACCAAATGCGTACGCAACTTGCGTACTCTACCAGCCAGAGTAGAGCCCATCAGTGCCACAGGGTAATTGCTATGACAGTTTTTATATTTTCAAACAGTTGAACTTCAGAATGACGAACCATAACTAGTCACACAACAGGTGTGTAACCTTTTCATTCTCCAGGACAGTCACATACGTTTTCTGTGACTTGTTATTGTCTTTATAATTTTCCATTACTGGAAAACTTGGACGTGTAGGAAACCTGAACTAAGCTCTATTGTAGAGCTGGTCATAGAGCTTCTTGACCTTGGTGGCCATGCCTTTCGGGTCCAGCTCCATGAAGACTTTCTGGATATATTCAAATGTCAATTTTAATGTCTTGGGATATTCCAGATTGAGAGCATAAAGGAAGCCCAGGAGAATGGCGACAGCATTTGCAACAGACGCCAACTTATTCACAACCTCTTGTCCCTCAAGAATGATGCCAATGTCTTCGGTTGCGGCTTGTGCATCTCTGATGACGAAGATTGCGATGGTTTCCCGCTGAAGAATTTGTCCAGCCTCATCCTTCTCCGACACCTGGAAAATAATTTAGGAAAAAAGAATCTGAAATCAATATAGCTTGGGTTTCCCCCCAGATGAATAGCCTAACTGTTAAGACATATCGTGGACGTCCTGGAAGGCCATAATTGGCTGTAAGAAGGAATTGTATCGTGATGCATAGCTTTGGCTCTTGTCTGTAGCTATTGTCTGAGCCAACACATCCTCACTCCCAGGTCGGCCTATGTTGACGTTATGTCAAGTCCCCTGTCGGCTTTTTCCAACGCAAGGGGGGGGGCCTTAGCGTCCATTTTCAACTTTCCGGGATGTCCATATGCTTCTATGGACGCACGGCATTCGTTTGTGTCGACTGTCCTTAAAGGCAATGAGAGCGTCCATTCTCATTGGATAACGGAGAATTGTACACCCGGAAGTAAGTATTCCCATTACTGACGATTGATTTTACAGTGATATCTGCACTACTCATCGACTAAAAAACACCAGATTATCCTTGTTAATTACACAACATTGATTGGTTTAAATTGTGTGCAATGCTTTTGTATTTTTCCCCTTCGATTCGGAGAAACAAATCTTTTTTCGGAGTAAAGGGTGGCAGAAGACACTACACTACCCAGAATCCCCAGCTATCGTCATGACCCACGCCATGTGCTCTGTTTGACAAACCCCGTGATAGTCCTCAAGCTCTGTGATTGGAGAGTGTGCTCCGAGGGTTACCGAGCCTCGAACAGCACTTGAAATGGGATGGAACCACGGCAGACTGTTCAAAACTGGATTTGAACGGGTCCACCGCGTCCCCGTCCCCCCAGAACTACACATGCTGGCTATTCTGTTTCTCAACATGTTCTCTATATGGCACGTCTCTACTGGGAGTTGTAGTTTTAAAAGACGTTTTCGTATTTCCCATAATAAGAAGTTGCCAGTATTAAACTGTGTACATCCCTGGAGGTTTAGGGGATAGGAAACACTCACATTTAACATATAATTAATAAATGGGTGAAAATTGCTCGTGCCCATAATGGGCAGCATTAATATACACACATGCCAGCTAAGGTCAGAAGAGCTTTATGTAACAGCTGGTCTTATGTTTGTGACCCCTCCTCTTGTTCATTGATAACATTACATTACATTACATTAATTGATAAGCCTGAAACATGCACTTGTCAAGGTTCAGAGGCAAATTTTGCAAATATGGCAGTCGCCATTGATCAGCTTAAGTTTAATACTGGCAACTTCTTATTATGGGAAATACGAAAACGTCTTTTAAAACTACAACTCCCAGTAGAGACGTGCCATATAGAGAACATGTTGAGAAACAGAATAGCCAGCATGTGTAGTTCTGGGGACTGGGTGGGGGAGGGGGGGGACGCGGTGGACCCGTTCAAATCCAGTTTTGAACAGTCTGCCGTGGTTCCATCCCATTTCAAGTGCTGTTCGAGGCTCGGTAACCCTCGGAGCACACTCTCCAATCACAGAGCTTGAGGACTATCACGGGGTTTGTCAAACAGAGCACATGGCGTGGGTCCAAACGATAGCTGGGGATTCTGGGTAGTGTAGTGTCTTCTGCCATCCTTTACTCCGAAAAAAGATTTGTTTCTCCGAATCGAAGGGGAAAAATACAAAAGCATTGCACACAATTTAAACCAATCAATGTTGTGTAATTAACAAGGATAATCTGGTGTTTTTTTAGTCGATGAGTAGTGCAGATATCACTGTAAAATCAATCGTCAGTAAGGGGAATACTTACTTCCGGGTGTACAATTCTCCGTTATCCAATGAGAATGGACGCTCTCATTGCCTTTAAGGGCAGTCGACACAAACGAATGCCGTGCTTCCATGAGCGTCCATAGAAGCATATGGACATCCCGGAAAGTTGAAAATGGCCGCTAAGGGCCCCCCCCTTGCGTTGAAAATGGACGCTAAAGGCCCCCCCCCTGCGTTGGAAAAAGCCGGCAGGGGACTTGACATAACGTCAACATAGGCCGACCTGGGAGTGAGGATGTGTTGTCTGAGCACGTCTTTAAACACTACTAGGACTGCCTATTGGTTACTCGCTGTGTTGGTGACATGTGAATTTGACTTGTACTCCTATTACACTTGTTGTTAGTCACTCTGGATAAGAGCACCTGCTAAATAACTAAAATGTTATGTAAAATGTAACACACATCATATAAAATGGACAGCCTTAGCTAGAATTTTAACACCTCAACAGTAATCTTGCCTCACCAGGAATTCTTTGATCAGGTCCTCCACCGATTCTCCCATGTTGAGGATGAGACATTTGAGAGCAATCTCCCTCTTTGTAGTGGTGTCAGTATCCTGCATGAAGACAGTCACAATAATTAATGTTAATTGTTCAGTTCGTCCATTCAATCAGTGCGAGTGTGCCACGGTTTCTTAATGTGGGATTGAGAGCTAGTAGGTTTTAGGTGATAAATGAGTAAGGATGCATTTAGACAGTAGAGACATGAAAAAAGAGCATAGTTTGGCGTGAAGGTAGGGCTGGACACTTTCATATCAGTCGATAAAATAATGATTACAATATCAGTCAATTAGTGTGTCAACCATATTAAGGCCATGAAAAAACAGCCAAGAATTCCCATTACGCCAAAATGAATGTCTAAACATGTAGATGAACATGAAGAATGAATGTGCCAAGTCTATGAAACCTCTGGCTAAAAGGTTGCTGTGTCGGATCAGTGACCAATGCTATAAATAATTGATTATGTATTGAAAGATATATCTATTGTTATTGAGGCATATATGTAAGTGAGCAGTAAAGTAAAAAACATCTGTACATACCGTTTCCACAAATGGCAGGAGCTTTGTCTTCTCCCGGATAGCTCCACCCTTCTTTCTGACGACTTGAATTAGTTCACTGCACTTCTCGTCAAGTTTCTGCATGAACCTTGCTTCAAGGGGTATTGTGGTTACTCTGATGAATTCTTCATTCACCTAGGGAATATAGGTAGTATAGGTATATATATATATATCAAAAACAGACAAAGGATATGTGCCTCATGCAAAAGCATGTGATTTAGCTTTACGTACATTTGATTACACACACATATACATACATACTATGAGTAAAGTTAGTGTACCTCTTGAACTTCGAAGAGTGCTGGCCATCTCTCGATCATTTCGTGCAAAGATGTTTTCTTGTCGACAATTTCTTGCCTCCGAAATGCGAACGTCCGAGCCATCTTCTGTCTTATTGTTTGGACATTGTTCCTTTTCTTTACCTCAGACAAGAGGGCCACTCTCTCTTGCTCCATGGACTCTGGTGTCTCGTTGAAATGCAGAGATGGGTAATGGTTAGACTCAGCTCGCCTAGGTTTCTTTATGTTCTTTGCTGGGTGGGCATCCGTCAGCAACTTTCTTTTCAGAGTATTCACAGTCAGCTCGTCAGATGATGAACTGTGTGATTTCAGGTATGTGCGATAGTTGTACATCTTCGTCTTGAGTCTCTGTTTCCATCCGTAACTGTGGTTGAAGGACCCAGGTTCTTTCAGACAGGGGTGTGTCTGTGTGAGTGCCTCTGCCACTTCACTGAAGTCTGCATCGCTAGGATAGGATTTGTATGAATAGACTGTCAGCGAGCGTTTCCAGTATGTTGGAAAGCATTTTAGAGCTGGGAGTGAGTCTAACCTGGCTTCTCTGGTACTCTGCATTTCCATCCCTAAGTTGTGTTTCTGTTGAATGAGAGAAAGTAGGGATGAGGAACACCTTGGGCCACTGCTCCTTTCTGTAGGTGTCCGAAGAAGGGCTGCTTACGGGTAATGTGTCACCCGAGCATGCAGATGAAGACATACTGGAATCATCTTGGCGTTGAAAATTAGCCTTATCCACAGAGTATTCCACTGGCTCTAAGAATAAAGTCACACTGGGTACTACATTAATAACTTTCAAAGTGCAGTGTGCGAAAAAGCACACGTCCCACCGTCCGGGACGTGTTATTTACGATATCGGACAAGTAGATCTTTCAATTGACTTGTCCGGTGGACAAGTGACGTTTTTCGCCCTAATTTATTGACAAATTATTGATACATTCAGTTTACAAAAGGCAGAATTCATTCGCAAATTGTCCGTGTCCGCCATTGTTCGTTTAGAAATGTTAGTTTCGGTTCTGCTTGTCGATTCCCCAGGAAATGCATCTCGCCGCTTTCTGTAGGCCTACTGTTAGACGGGGGCGGGGCGGGACGGGACCATGGATGTATAATAAGAACGACGACGTGTAGCACAGTGGCAGGGTTGGGAAGCAAAACTCGGTTCCGAGTAAGAACAAATAACAATTGTCCAGTACCGGGATTAATAAGAGTTGTGAGGACAGGAGGCGAGGCCGAGCCCCGCGGACTGCAGCTCTCTCTCTCTATGCTCCGTATCAGCTGCACGGTGCAGCTCAGCGTCTTTCTCTCTATCTACACACAGCAGATTCGCTGCCCATTTAACAGCCTCATCTTTGTCAAACTTTCTTATGTTCTTTCTCTAACACGTAATGAAGGTTATTAAGCGTTTTAGCTCCTATGTTGTTAATATTGACCACCATTTCCTTTATGAAGTAAAGCAGCCTCCCTGTCTGTGTCCTCGCGCTGTCCTCACATCCCCGGACCCCCAGACTCGGAGGAGCACAGGGATGTCAGTATTGTTTATGAAGCAGGGTATAGAAAGTACATTATTGAAATGAAAATACTATTTATTTACTTTTACAAACAGTGAGCCGCTGGGCAGCTGCAGCATGTGTATTGCAGGACATGTGTAAGCGTGCAAGCGTCTTCTAGTTGTAGAAAAGCGCTAGGCCTATACATCTAATGTATTATTATTATTATTAGGCCTATGTGTTGGACATGTGTGGTTGGACTCTGTCTCACAGGCAGGTTGCAGTGTAACATCAGAGGAGACTGGGCCAATTGTACATTCTCAAACTGCACCACTTAGAACTAACTAAACAATGCAGAGATTATTTTTATATATTTTATTCAATAACCGTAACGAAATTCAACAGTATGAAGTGATTTGTAAATACAAAGGAATACAGATTTGACTTAATGTTTTCATAAATATATTTTTCTCCCAGTTTGTCATGGGACTTATTTTTACCCTCTCAAAGAACCGGAATCGAGAACCGAAAATAACCGGAATCGAAAAGCATAACCGGAATCGTTAAAATCCAAACGATACCCAACCCTTTGTGTGATGCAGTAAAAGCTTACCGCTCACTTACGTTAGCGGTGTCGTAAAAAACGTGGAAAAATACGATGGCGAAGAAGAAGATTCCAGTGGCCCCAATTTTTGTCCATTCTGGACAAGTGAAAAATGTATTCGGACAAGTAAATTGCCAAACTCACTTGTCCATGGACAAGTACTCTCTAAAAACTTTTTCTCACACTGAAGTGGCAAGATCCTTGAGTTCTGAAGTTGAAGTTAAGTTAACCCAAGTGCCGAAATCAGGGTCATTGTATTGAAGCCGTATTTCATTAGTTAGACCACAGGAATTCGTTATTTCTTGGATGACTTCGTCAACCGAGGAGGGGATGCCATTAGGAAGCTCCAGCTTGATGCGACTGTCCTCTTCTAAAATCACCAGGAGCCGCGTGACGCCCGCCATGTTTAGAGATCCTCTGAGTGGGAGGGAAAGAAAGCAGGGTGGGGTTTGGAGAGAGAGAAAGAGATATTAGAGATGTGCTTTGTTCATGGTTGACTAATGATTGTGTGCTATGAACAAATAGTTTTACGTGCAACAGTAGCTTTGTTGAATTTAAATGATATGATCATTCATGTTAATTACAATGAAAACAAAATTAACCTGCATAATTCATCACATCCACTTTGCTTCTGACCCACCCCAAACAGATATTACTTTATGCTAACCTTAACCTTGAATATATCGCTTGAGTGTAATAAGCCGCATGGCCCCAACTGTGTAGTCTGCCAGGGGGTAAGGATCGGTCAGTTGAGATGCCTCAAAAACTTCAATCTCCTTTGAAGGCGAGATTTCGAGTTGATAGGCTCTGTAGTGTTCCATGTACCAAGAGCTTAGTTTCCGAACAATGAAGACCAATTCCTTTTTGAGAACCACCATCTGGATGATTTCCGTGAATGCAGGCATCCCTCTGATTGATCCACGAGCAAGGATCATTCCAAGTCTGTAGTTAAATCCGTTATAGATGACATTTTCGGCCAAAGAAACTTCCTTCACATTTGGGTTCTTGTGTTTGACAGCCTGTGCAATATCATCTTTCAGGACGTCAATGCTAACAGTTGAGAACTTTTTCGCTTCCAGTAGAGGCTTAGGAAATCTACATGAGTAGAGCTGGTGTGCCATGGATAACTGGTGTCTCTCTGCCAAGGACAACAACAAGTTTTTAAAGCAGCTAGTGTGTCGTACAACTCTCTTAAAAAAGCTATGCTTGGCTTCAAATCTTAAAGTCCAGAGAGAAACTAGAGGACCAAACTGATAGATTAGCTGTGGGTAGTGTTCCAAGAAGTGATGCTTAGGAAGCAAGTTGGAGTCTGGGAAAACCTCCTTAAACCGTACTCTATGCTCAGAGATTTTGAAATTCAAATAAGCTATCGTTTCGTCAGTGTGCACCGGTGTGACAACAAGGTCAACTATGTCCTTCAAGTCAGTGAGGAGATTCCAGGCAGGTTCATCAGCAGGCACTTTCTGTCCCAGGAGGAGCGGCAAAAACCTGATCAAACTCCAATTCTCGTGAGAATTGCCACCAACTGTTCTCCTTGTTGCATAGGTAAGAGGCACAGGATGGGGACAGTTTGTTTTATCTGTCCACTTGAAGGGGAAAGTTTTTATAGAGTCATTCAAAAATTCCAAAGTAAAGTACTTCTTCGAGGTGAACACAGAGAGACAAAGAGCTATTTCACGAGGAACAATTCCTTCAAATAGATCATGAACGATGTCTGGAGGAAAGCCAGTTGTGACATTAAAATGAGCAAGTTTTTCCGACAAAACACACCTCCTCTTAACACTAGGGGTGCACCGAATGGGAAATTATTGGCCGAAACCGAAAATAGGAAACAGTTGGCCGAAAGCCGAATGCCGAAAGGCCGAAAATTATTAATAGAAATATATATATATATAATGTATACATTTTTTACCAATGTTGTTCAGCTACCTGATTATGGCAAAACTTAACTTAAATAATATTCACTATTATGGGTCCATAAAACATTTATTCAGTACTTTTGAATGCATACAGTACATTTATATATGTCATGTATTATTGCTAAAAAACATTATATCGCAGTCTTAGTGTCGCCAACTCGTTTCTAATATGCAAAGACAACAAATGCGTCTATGATGTATTTTCGATCAGACGAGATCTCTCTCCCCCGTCTGTGTGCGAGGGGGCGGGGCAGTTTACACACACGCAGCTGCTACATGCAGCGGAGCACACTGCGGAGATGGCGGAGAGAACGCGCTCCGAGGTGTGGTTAAACTTTACCCGTCTCGATGTGGAGAATACTTGTTACCATAAGTGCAATAAGAGTTTAGCATGTAAGCACGAGCAATTTGTCTAAACATTTAGCAAAAGTGCACCGCATGCAGACGGAGGAATGTACCGGGTTCGACCGTCTTTCTAGCAGCTCTGTAGCCCCATCCACGATGAACGTTTCCACGTCAGGTGTTTTGTAGGCTAGCAGCAACACACGGAGTTAACTGCATTATACAAACATGGGTTAATGATTAGAGGTAACTGAGTTATTTAGTTTGTTAAAATTTCAGCTATTCTGTTTACAGTCTGTCATCAGATTATTTAATACGATTTGTTAAAGGCTCAGGGCAATCTCGATGACAAAGGTCAATGTCCCCCCCCCCCCCTGTGAGCCAGCCGCGAGCATGGTCGCCGCGTCTTTATTACGTCATCACAACAACACGTTAGGTTACCAACGTAAGCCTGTTCTGACATTCGGTGATATTTTTTCGGTGCCCTTTTTTGCCGAAAGCCGAAAGGGCCTTTTTAACCATTTTCGGCCGATAATTTTCGGTGACCGAATATTCGGTGCATCCCTACTTAACACCAAAACAATTGGCCAATGATTCTTCCTCAAGTGTTTTAAGATGTCTTGCGTGACCCTCCTCTGTCCTCAAAGAGAATGCTCCACTTCCTACGTCCCTCGTTTGAAAATCTAATTTCCGAGCTGTACAAAACCTACAAACATAAGCACTCGAAAAACTCTCCACAAAACCAGCAAGACTATGAGCACCTAGGTTGTCAGCAACAACACATTGCACTGTTCCCTTTACACATTTTCCTAACTTGGCCACAAATATTCCATGTTGCTCTAAAATAATGATGTCATTAATCAAAGGTTCAAGAACTGCCTTGTATCCATACAACTTTACATCATCACTTTTGATCAATGCAGCCAAGTAGATTGATGACAATGAAGAGTGTGAACCAGGTGGAAGAATGCCTAAAATCCAGTATATGGCACAGATTTTATGTATTTTGCGCGAAGTCCCAAGGGGATTACAAACCTTAAAATCATCTATGTACAGAATTAATGAAACTGCACACTCATTTGATAAAAGACTGTTTTCTTTAAAGTTCGCACCATCCCAGAGACATCTGTATACCTGCCTCTCACTTGACACTGATTGAAGTTTCTCTTTTAAATTAACTGCATTGCTGAGGATAGTCTCACAATTCAAAACCTGCTGCAACGTTTTTAGTACAGGAATATATTGAAAAGACCTTCTGTTCTTTCGGTCAATTACATATTCTACTGGTTCCACTACACAGAACTTACTTTTATAATATTTGTTGCGCCTCCATGCAGTAGATAATGGGCCTTCTTTTCCAATAACAAGTTGAATAGGATGTGAGGTACAGAGTTCTGTCGCTAACTCTTGGACAAGTGATTCATCTACCCGACAGTTATGATC